CACGGGCAGGGATTATTTCCGTCGTTTAGAGAAGGATCTTGGGCCTAAAGTGCTCAGCAAGGCTGAGCGTGTGGCCAGGGCCTTATTATGTGTGTATATATATGTATATACACACATATCTATATGTATATATACATACATATGTGCATATATATATATATATATGTATATACACATATGTATGTATATATACATATATATATGTATGTCCGGCACTAGACATGCGGGCACAGGGTGTCTGAGAGAAAAAAAAAAAACGCGTTTCTTCTACAGTGCTGTTACTCTCTCGCTGGCAGAGGAGACACTCGGGAGCCTCCTCGGGTCAGTAGCTGTACTCCGAATCTACAATCGTGAGACTGATGAATATATATATATATATAGAGAGAGAGAGAGAGAGAGCGAGGGGAGCGATTACAATAGGAGCGAGCATATACCTATATATATATATATATATATATATATATACATATATATATATATATATACATATACGTATACATATATATATATATATATATATATACACACCACAGCTTCGGATAAGAGTGAGGGGGCGGCGGGGACGTCTGCAGTCTGCGAGGCTCCGGAAAAGCCCGCCGCAAGCGCAAAACTTTCAAGCTATACAACGAGCCCGACGCAGGCGCCGATATTTGGTTACAGCAATGTAGGTGGGTCGCGGGTTGGGTCGTAGGTGGGTCGCGGGTGGGTCGCGGGCCAGGTCGCGGGTGGGTCGGGGGTGGGTCGCGGGTGGGTCGCGGGTGGGTCGCGAGCGGGTCGCGCGGTGGGTCGCGGGTGGGTCGCGGGGTGGGTCGCAGGGCGGGTCGCGAGGCGGGTCGCGGGGGGGCAACAACAACAACAACAACAACCACAACAGCAGCAGCAGCAGCAACAGCAGCAGCAACAGCAACAGCAACACCAACAACGCAACAAACAGAATCCTCACCACGGATTCGCACTTGAGCCACGCACCCAGGGACAATGAATGACCGTTCGCCCCCCTCACTCTGATATACATGTGTATATATATATATATAACCCCACGCCCACGATAATAATGTACCCCCCCCCCCCCCTTAAGTCGTTAGAGTTATTTATCGTCGACCAAAGAAAGTTTGGTCGGGGGCGCGGGGCGCGGAGGTCAAACTTCATTATCACCTCGGAACGTTATGTTGAGATAGCAAGATCAAGTTATGTTGAAATAGCAACATCAAGCGAAGCGATCACACTTTTTCAGGATGTCTCAAGCGAAACCAAGAATTTTGGGAGGCAGGCTCAAACGAAACGAGCAATGTTTCAAGGATGTCTCAAGCGAAACCAGTAATTCTGTGAGGATGTCTCAAGCGATTCGAGAAGCTTGTCGAGGATGTCTCAAGCGAAACAAGCATATACTCGAGGATGTCTCGAGCGATTCGAGAAGCTTGTCGAGGATGTCTCAAGCGAAACAAGCATATACTCGAGGATGTCTCAAGCGAAACAAGCATATACTGAAGGATGTCTCAAGCGAAACGATACGTTTCGTAAGGATGTCTCAAGCGAAAACAACAATTCTGTGAGGATGTCTCAAGCGAAACCAAGAATTTTGGGAGGCAGGCTCAAACGAAACGAACAATGTTTCAAGGATGTCTCAAGCGAAACCAGCAATTCTGCGAGGATGTCTCAAGCGATTCGAGAAGCTTGTCGAGGATGTCTCAAGCGAAACAAGCATATACTCGAGGATTGTTCTTTTCTTCCTCTTCTCTTCTCCTTATTTTTTCTTAATTTATATTTTTATTTCTTTATGAATTTCTTTATTTCTTTATTTTTGTTTCCTCTCTCCCCCCATGCCCCCCTGAACTTGTTCATCCCTGGTGTTGACTATCCATGGCAAGTGAGGCACATGAGCTACCCTACACGAGCACTCCAAAAAATCAATTTTCAGAAAGCGCTTGTACATTAAATCTAATAGATTTGGAACTTGAATTTGTTGCTCTTGTTCTTCCTCTTCTCTTCTCCTTCTTTTGTCTTAATTTATATTTTTATTTCTTTACATATTTCTTTAGTTCTTTCTTTTGTTCCTCTCTCTCTCTCTCTCTTCCATGCCCCCCTGAACTTGTTTATCCCTGGGGTTGATTATCCACGGAAAGTGAGGCACATGAGCTACCCTACACGAGCACTTAAAAATTTTAATTTGCATAAAGCGCTTGTAAATAAAAAATAATACATTTGAATCTTCAGATTTTTTGTTTTATCCTCCGTTCCTCTCCTCTTCTACTTCTCCTCCTCATTTCTTCTTGTCCTTTTCCTTTTAATATTTCTTTTATGTATTTACCTCAACTCTCTCTTTGTTTTCTTTATTTCTCTCTTTATATGTTTCTCTCTCCCCATGCGCCCCTGAACTTGTTCACCCCTGGGGTTGATTACCCACGGAAAGTGAGGCACATGAGCTCCAAAAAAAAATCATAAAGCGCTTGTAAATAAAATATAACATATTTTGAACTTGAAATTTTGCTTTTGCTCTTCCTCTCCTCTTCTACTTCTCCTCTTGATTTTTTCTTCTCCTCTTCATTTTCATTAGTTCTTCTCTCTCTCTCTCGCTTTCTATCTCTCTGTCTCTCTCCCCCCCATGCCCCCCTGAACTTGTATATCCCTGGGGTTGATTATCCATGGAAAACCTGATAGGTTTTTTTATTAGTTCCTCTCTTTTGTTTTTGCTCTCTCTGTTTCTCTATCTCTCTCTCCTCTTGCTCCTCTCCTGTCTTCTCCTTTCCTCTCCTCCTCTCCTTCCTCTCTTGCTTTTCATTATCTCCTCTTCTTCTCTCTCTCTCTCTCTCTTTCTCAATTTCCATACAGCGTTTCTAAATAAAATCTGATGGATTTGAAACTTGATTTTTGTTTGCTTTTCCTCCTCCTCCTCTATCTGTCTTTATTTCTATATATCTTCTCTTCGTCTTATCATTATTCTGATTATTCTTCTTCTTTATTATAAGATTTGTTGTTTTTATTATTTTTCTGCGAAATGTGTTGTATCTTTCTTATTAAAAAATATGTTTATCGTATGTTTGTTCCTTCTCTCTCTCTCTCAGCACAACCCCCCCAGCACAAGCCTCCAGCACAACCCTCCAGCACAACCCGCCAGCACAACCCTCCAGCACAACCCTCCAGCACAACCCTCCAGCACAACCCTGCAGCACAACCCTGCAGCACAACCCCTCAGCACAACCTCTTGAAGTTTATTATCGTCGGCAGTTGTTTATCATCGGCAGTGGTCGATAGCAACTCCTGAGCTCTCCGGGAACACGGCGGCACGCAAATTATACGCATGTTTTTGAACAACTTCATTTTGAAAAAACATATATTTTATTTAATTGCGAATTCCATTGAAATCTTTTCGAATTTGCGAAATCGAGCCGTCAGGCGCTTGAATGCCGCACTGCGTTCGAGATTTAGGCGAAAGCGTGTGCGACGCAATTTTCTCATGTCACGCATTTTTTTGAAACACCTTACTTTGACAAAAAATACTATATTTGGTTGCGAATTCCATTGAAATCCTTTCGAAATTGCAAATTCGAGCCCGCACGCGCCTGAATGCCACACTGCGTTCGATATTCGGGCAAAAGCGCGTGCGACGCAAATTTCTCATAAATGATCGCGTGCTTAAATCTCGAACGCAATGTGGCATTCAAGCGCCTGACGGCTCGATTTCGCAATTTTGAAAGGATTACAATGAAATTCGCAATTAAAAAAAGTTTTTTTTCAAAATGAAGTTTTTCAAAAAATACGTATCATTTGCGTGCCGCCGTCTTCCGGGAGAGCTCAGGAGTTGCGATTGACCACTGCCGATGATAAAAAACTGCCGACGATAATAAACCTCAGCCGATGATAAAAAAAAAAAACTGCCGACGATAATAAACCTCAGAGGAGCGCACGGCGGGAGAGAGAGAGAGAGAGAGTCTCACCTCTCTCTCTCTCTCTCCTCCCTCCCTCTCTCCTCTTTCTCTCACTATCTCTCTCTGCTCAAGGTGAGCTGCTGAAGCAGAGCTGCTCAAGCAGATGGCTGCTCAGAGAGCAGAACCAGACAATGAGACCTTCGAGAATAAAAAACACAATTATTTCGAGGATGTCTCAAGCGAAATAAGCAATAGTTTGACGGTGTCTCAAGCGAAATAAGCAATATATTCAGGATGTCTCAAGCGAAATACGCAATAGTTTCAGGATGTTCAGGCGAAATCAGCAATAGTTTGATGATGCTTCAAGCGAAAAACACAATTATTTCGAGGATGTCTCAAGCGAAATAAGCAATAGTTTGACGGTGTCTCAAGCGAAATAAGCAATAGTTTGTGGATGTCTCAAGCGAAACAAAGGATTTGTCGAGGATGTCTCCAGCGAGATAAGCCATTGTTGAGGATAGTTCAATGAAGACTAAACGCCAAGGATGTCTCAAAACGTGCTCGGTTTGGTCTCCTCTTGATCATCTCTTACTTCGAGATTATGCTGAGGTCTGGTGGGCTACTTTGATTATCTCCCCCTGAACCCCGAACTTTATTATCCCCTAGTGTTTATTATCGTGAGCATGGGGTTAGAGAGAAAGAGAGAAGAGAAAGAGAGAGAGAGAGAGAGACAGAGACAGAGAGAGAGAGAGAAACTCGCTTCGCGACCGCTCTCATCTGATCTCCTCCTCAGTCTCCCCCTCCCTCCTCATCTACGTACTCCTCCTCCTCCTCCTCCTCCTCCTCCTCCTCCTCCTCCTCCTCCCAGGTCCCCAGAGGTCCCTGGAGGCCCCTCGAGGCCCGACAAAGACCAACAACTACTACGAGCCTCCACCCTTCCTTTCCAAAACTCCCTTCCCCCCCCGCCCTTTCCTTCTCTTCCCATCCCTCCTCTATCCCCTCCTGCTTCTTTCTACCTGGTCCCCTCCCCCGTCCTCCACCCGCCCCCTCCTCTGTTCCCTCCGTCCTGCTCCCCCCCCCCCTCCGTCCTCTCCTCTCTCCCCGATTCCTCCTTCTCCCCACCGCCGCGCCATCCTGCTCCCGATCGACCGCGACAAGAGCCGCCTGTTCCACCGTGGAGAACTTCTGCAACAACATCGTCGCGAATGCGCGGAAGTCTTCCGAGCCCTCGATCTGCCTGCAGCTCGGCTCGTCGCTGCCCTCGGCCAACATCATACTGTCGCGCTGGCGGGCGGGACGGGGACCGAGAGGCGGGGCGGGTTGACACTGCCTTCTTCTGGCATCTGACCCCCTGTTCTGATCCACCTCCTCCACCTCCGCCTCCTCATCCTCATCCCTTTTCCTCCCTCCTCCTCCCTCCTCCTCCTCCTCCTCCTCCTCCTCCTCCTCCTCCTCCTCCTCCTCCTCCAGGTAATTGCTGCAGCTCCGGCCCCTCTGCTAGGATTTCTGCATGATGAGTATCATCAGGCCGCCAAGCGGGCAAAACATGGCTCCTGGTGACACCAGATTCTGGCAGACTTTCCATGGGTGCGGTTGACCCACCACGATTTCCAGGAGATGCCACTGCCGTCGTCAGATCCAGGGGATTGGGTTTCCAAAGCCAGGATTTCCAAAGGTGCTTGGCTAGGTGCAATCCAGGAGGCGACTAAGGCAGAAGTCGCCAAGGCACGGAAAGAGCTAGATGCGTCACGATGGGAGAGGAGAACATTGAAACTGTTGACAAGTGCAGGTTTGCCTCCCCCTCGAGATGTGCCGCTGCACTCGCAGAACAAAACGTTCAAGCGCCACGTTAGCGTTTTTTCTCAGAGAAGGTCTCTTCGCTAGATATGCACATCCGGGCTAATCACATCATTTTCTGGCACTGCTAGGAGGCATGTGTCTAACAGCTGCTGCCAGGCATGTCTGAGTTTGTTCCTCCAGATCAATGCTAGTGCGGCACGTGGCAACCTGGCGCCCAGTCTGTTTGATTTTCTATATTAATCAAGTGCCGCCTCATGCCCTTGAAGACATGCAGAAGCTAGCGGCCAAAAAAAACAGGATAGTAATCAGGCCTACAAGCGGGGTTGTTCTGCCTCACACGCCTCGATGCCGTCATGCATAGCGTCGAGGCCAATCCACCCCGTCGCTGGGACTTTTCAGGCCATATGTATATATATATATATATATATATGTACCCGTGCGCAGGCCATGGCACATGTACAACACGCTTTACAAGAAGCCTCGGGGTGGTCTAGGATTTGGGACCAACATCTGCCAAACCCAGCGTTCTTCGGTCAGTAAGCGGTCTATTTCGTGATTGGACCTACTATAGAAACGAATACTCTGGTAGGCTAGCTAAAATTATCCCTCGCAGACTGCATCGCCGGACTGGCTGTTTGTATAGCCAATTGTTTTTGCGACAAGCGCCGCGAAGAAGACATTCAATGCGCTGTTGAGACGCCTTGGGAGCTTAGCTTACCTAGCGTGGAAATCCCTGTGCCTTATATTTTTTATATATATATATATATATGACGATTGATCCTTATATTGGTGACCTTAGTAACCAGTCAACAATGCAGTTTTGGTCTGGCCATATCAAGGCTGGCCGAATAGCACTTTTGGGAGGGGGGCCGCGCGAAACGTTCTTTGCGTCTCGGTGGAAGGACGGGGAAACATTTGCAGAAACAATGACAGCGCAGGCGCGTCGATTACTTGCGCGAGCTACATGGGATGCGCGATCACTGCACGACTCACAAGACAACGATCGGTAACAGGAGGACTGAGGCCCCTGGCTTGAAGAAGAACGGAGGCAGAAACTAAGGACAAGAGCAGGACGAACGGAATCAGAATTGGCGAGGAGCCATCGCGGCAGCAGCAGCAGCAGCAGCAGCATGAATGCATGGGGTGACAGAGGCACTAGGGTGACGATGATGAAAGAGGCGAGAAGAAACTGCATTCCTCTGGGTTAGTCATCAGCGCGTGTCGGATGGGACGCACGTCGCGCGCTTCCTCTGGGTCGCCCTCCGCACGAGGGCGAGGATGAGGAGGATTGCCAGGAAAATGAGGAGGGATGATCCAGGACAATACAGGAAAGCAGGAAGAGGAAGAGGCTGAGGGGGGGGAGGACGAGGAGGAAAAGGAGGAGGAATGCCCGAGGAGGCCCCAGCAGGTCCCAGGAGGCCCAGAAGGCTCCAGGAGACCCCAAGAGGCCCCAGGAGGCCCCAGGAGGAGGCAGGAGGCATAAGGAGGAGGCCGGGAGAAGGAGAGAGGGAGAGACAGATAAATAGAGAGAGAGAAAGAGAAGGAGCGGAGAGGAGGAGGGGGACACGAGGAGGTCTCTTGCGCACCTAGTCGTCCCTACTCCGCTTGCGCAGGAGCTCCATAATCTCTTTGTGCTGCGCTGCAATACAACGGGCCTGTGCATCTATGATCATCTGACGACGACGACGACGACGACGACGACGACGACGACGACGACGACGACGGAGACGACGACGACGACGACGACGACAACGACGGCGGCGGCGGCGACGACGACGAGGACGACGAGGACGACCACCTGGAAGAAAGACCACACGTCCTCCTCCTCCTCCTCCCCCTCCTCCTCCTCCTCCTCCTCCTCCTCCTCTGTCCGCGCACGCTTAATAAAACGTCCGCCAACGAGACCCCCCAGCGAGGACGACGACGACGACGACGACAAAGACAGCGGCGGCGGCGACCACGACGAGGACGACCATCTGGAAGAAAGACCACACGTCCTCCTCCCCCTCCTCCTCCTCCTCCTCCGCCTCCTCCTCCTCCTCCTCCTAAAACGTCCGCCAGCAGGACCCCCCAGCAGCCCTCGAAGGTGGCGCCAATTTCACAGATCGCAGCCCCCCAAGGATGGCCAAGTGTAGTCTGTCTGACTCCGCGTATGACGTCACTCTGTTGGACCCCCCAGCAGCCCTCGAAAGTGGCGACAGTTTCACAAATCGCAGCCCCGCAGCGATGGCGAGGTCTAATCTGAATCTGCGTAAGACGTCACTCCGCTGGACCCCCCCCCGTCAGCCCTTGAAAGTGGCGACAGTTTCGCAGATCGCACCCCCCAGGGATGACAAGGTCGAATCTGCATTTGCGTAAGACGTCACTCCGCTGGACCCCCCTGCAGCCCTCGAAAGTGGCGACAGTTTCGCAGATCGCAGCCCCCCAGGGATGGCGAGGTCGAATCTGAATCTGCGTAAGACGTCACTCCGCTGGCCACCCCAGCAGCCCTCGAAATTGGCGACAGTTTCGCAGATCGCAGCCCCCCAGGGATGGCGAGGTCTAATCTGAATCTGCGTAAGACGTCACTCCGCTGGACCCCCCAGCAGCCCTCGAAAGTGGCGACAGTTTCACAAATCGCAGCCCCGCAGCGATGGCGAGGTCTAATCTGAATCTTCGTAAGACGTCACTCCGCTGGACCCCCCAACAGCCCTCGAAAGTGGCGACAGTTTCACAGATCGCACCCCCCCAGGGATGGCGAGGTCTAATCTGAATCTGCGTAAGACGTCATTCCGCTGGCCACCCCAGCAGCCCTCGAAATTGGCGACAGTTTCGCAGATCGCAGCCCCCCAGGGATGGCGAGGTCAAATCTGAATCTGCGGAAGACGTCACTCCGCTGGACCCCCCTGCAGCCCTCGAAAGTGGCGACAGTTTCGCAGATCGCAGCCCCCAGGGATGACGAGGTCGAATCTGAATCTGCGTAGGGCGCCACTCCGCTGGACCCCCCTGCAGCCCTCGAAAGTGGCGACAGTTTCACAGATCGCAGCCCCCCAGGGATGGCAAGGTCTACTCTGAGTCCGCGTAGGGCGCCGCTCCGCTGGACCCCCTCTGCAGCCCTCGAAAGTGGCGACAGTTTCACAGATCGCAGCCCCCCAGGGATGGCGAGGTCTAATCTGAATCTGCGTAGGCCGTCACTCCGCTGGCCACCCCAGCAGCCCTCGAAAGTGGCGACAGTTTCACAGATCGCAGCCCGAAGAGAGGAGGAGGGAAGAGAGGAGGAGGCGGGAGGAGGAAGAAGACGCGACTGCAGTGCTCTATTCATAACGAGTACCCAACGCAGGAGGGTTGGGAAAAAGCAAGACGGCCCAAAAGGCACCTAAAACGACGCAGAAGCCCCCATGACAGGCCAAGACGGCCACAAAAGGGCCCGAAGAGACGCCCATGGGGCTTTCGCCTTAACGCCACGCGCATTCGCCTGTAAAGTTTACCCACGTTACAAAAAAAGGGGAACGAAAATGGGGCTCTCGCCTGAGCGCCGCGCACATTCGTTTGAAAAGGTTACAGCAGCTGCTCGGATGGAGGGGGAACCAATTTCAAAATAGAGTTTTCGACTGAGCGCCGCGCACATTTGCCTTGAAAACCCACAACGATCACAGAGGTGAGGGAGGCTTTCAAAATGGAGCTCTCGCCTCATCGCCGCGCACATTCGTCTCAGAAGTTTGCCACAAGACCGCAAGGTTTTTTCTTCGAAATGGTGCTATGATTTTTACCGAAATGCACCGCCGCTTTACCGCGGAGAATTCCCCGCCCTCTTTCTCCGGCACCCGGGCCCCCCCCCTCTTTCTCCGGCACCCGGGGCACCCCCTGACCCCCCCCCTCCCCCCCCTTCTTCCTGCAAAACCCCCCCCAACCCCTCCCCCCTCCGGAAAACGGGGGAGGGTCACTACCGATTCGAACCCCCCCCCCCGGCCCGCCCGCGCCGGCCTTCCAGGCCCCACCTCCCCGGCGGACTCAGGCGCGCCTTGCCTTGACTTGCCCCCCCCGAAAAACCGGGGGGCGTCACTGCTGGTTCGAATCCCCCCACCTCACCGCCGGCAAACGACTCCCGGGCCCCACCACCGTCCGCACCACATCCCCCACCGCTGTCCCCAGCACAACCGTTCCCACCACCGCTGTCCCCCCTTTTCCCGCCACCGTCCCCAGTCCCCACCGGTGCCCCGACTACTGTCGCACTGTCCCCGCTGTCCCCGACACTGTTCCCACCACGGTCCCATCCCACTCTCCCCACTTTCGCCACGGTCCCCACCAATGTCCCACTGTCCCCAGTGTCCCCACTGTTCCACTGTCCCACGGTCCACGCCGCTGTCCCACTGAGCTGCCCCACTGTTCACACCACTGTCCACACTGTCGCCACCACTGTCCCCTCTGTACCCCTGTCCCGTTGTCCCACCACCGCCCTCACCACCGCCCTCACCACTGTCCCCACCACCACCGTCCCCACCACT